AATTTTTGAATTTATTCTTGGGAGAAATTGAATTTTGGAAAAGTATAAAATAAAATTTTAGAATTAAGGACCTAATTGCATAGAAATTGGGGACCTAATTGCATAAAATTAAAATTTTGAACTTCTAAATTAAATTAGCAATGAACGTAAAGAATTTAAAAGTTGTTAAGATATCTTTAAGAGAAGGACCTAAAGTGTTCAATTGAAAAATTTAAGAATGGTTAGAGGAGTAATTAGGGAAAAGATTAGTAAAATGAGGGACTAAAATTAAGCAAACATTTTGGACACTTCTCCACCCTTCCAGCCTAAATTTGGCTCTATGATTAAGGGTTAATTAATGAGCTTTGACTTACTTAAAAATGAGAGGCTAAAAGGATGCAAGATGGAAGGTTAAAAATTTTTTTTTTAAAAAAAAGGTTAAAGGGTAAAAACTTGTCCATTTGAAGAGCTAGGATTAAAAGTTAAATTAAGAGCTAGGATTACTCCAAAAAAAAAGCAATTTAAGGGTGTAGATGAGGTCAAAAGTCCACCAAAAATTTGTCTAGAAATAGAGGTGCAAGAAATTAGAGAAAATGCATGGAAATTAGTTAAAACCAAAGGAAACTCTTGCAAAATTTTCTTAGGAATTTCCACCCAAAATCCACCTAAATCAGCTTCAAACACTTCTAATCAAATAATCAAGCCAAGAAATCAAGCTAGAAGATCAAAATTTATCAAGAGGAATTTTTGGGGTTTAGGTCGAATTAATGGAGAAGAGAAGGAGAAAATTTTCAAATAATCTAACCTTTCAAGGTTTTATTGGAGGTTAATTAGGTAAGTTAACTCCACCAACATCGAAAGGTTGTTCAATTGATGTTAATTTGTGGTTTATGTGCTTTAATTTATGAATTTTAGCTTTAATTTTGAAAATTACGATTAGGGTTCTTAATGAAGTAAAATTGGGAGAAATGAAATTAAGCTTGTAATTCATAAAATTCAGGTTGGAATAAGATAATTGGACTTGAATTTAAGGTTTAAAACCCAAAAATTTCTAGGGTAATTCAAGGGTACCCATTCGGCAAAAAAGGAGAAATTTGGGCTTTTTTATGCTTCCATGAAATTGATGTTTTAGAACTTGATTAGGAATTAATTAGGTATGAATTAGTGTTTGGGAATGAACCGGAATTAAATTGAAGAAAAATTCATGAATTTCTTAAGGTTACATTCGACCCAAACTTAGAATTGTAGGGTTTTGGTTTCATCCATCCAACTCATGATTTGTTAGTCCATTAGTAATTGAATGGGTATAATTTGTGAGTAGGAGAGAAAAATTCCAAGAAAATTGAAGAAATTTGCTTAAATTAACTTAGGTCCAATTTCGGTCCATTAAGGCCCAATTAGGGTTTATGCATGAAATTACCCCATAAATGTTGATTAAATTGATTTCTAGTGTTAATATGTAGCTAATCTACTTAGTATTAAAAGTTTATGATAAAATGAGAAGAAAATAATAGGATTATAGGTTAGGGTATATTTGGCCTAAAATGGGCAAATTAGGGTTTAGGTTTAAAAATGATCTTTTGCACTTAAATTAACTAATTCAAGCTTAGAAATATGTAATGAGGTGAATTAGAATGAAAAACTTCATAAAAATCTAAAGGTTAGTTTATGTTTAGTAAAGTTAGAATTTAGGCCCAATAAGGCCCAAATTGGAACTAATGCATATAATTAATCACGTCATACCTAATTAAGTTATCTCATAAAGTTAGGAAATAATTGAGAAGAACTAAATGTGTAATGGATGTTAAAAATTGAAAGAAAATGGTTAGATTATGTTAGAACATAATTCGGCCTAACGTAGGAAAATTTAGGACTTTTGGTTCATTTAGTATAATTTTAATGCATAATTGTGTTTTAGAGTGATATTTAATGCATTTGAATTATGGATGTGATATGTGTTTGAAATGTGGATGATTGTAGAATTATCTTGTATGAATGGTTTATATTGGTGTTGGTATTAGTTATGATGGTTGAAATTATTTATGCAAGGTAATATTGTTAATGCATTATAGTATTAGCTTCATGCATCATCATAGCATGATTACATGTTATTCATGGAATGCAATTCATGAATAAATGTTATTTACCTATTGGTAAAGAAATGTCTATGCATACCCAATTTTATGAAAAATGTTTTAAAGTCATAAAAACATGTTTTTATGTTATGGTTTTCCAATAGCAATTGAAAATGTTTTAAAAAAACATGATTGTCATGACCTTAAGGATTTTTATAAGGAAAGAACTTCATGGGTTTTCCATACAATGATGATAATGGTTCAAGACAGGACAAGTATAGAAGTGCACTTTTAAAGGCTTGACAAGGCACATTTGTTGATCGTTCGGTTCATCGGACATATTATGAAAACCTAGAAGTACCTATGATGGGACATGTCTAATGATGGAAAGGAATTTTATGAAATGTATTTATGTCATGAAAAGATAAGATTTAATGTATGCATATTAATGTTTCCACTCATGCACATCCATATACATGCATGCCATACATAAGTTAACTTACCGAGCAATCGCTCACTTAGTTACTTGTTATATAGATAATTAAAGTGCTATGGCTTACTTCTCCATCAAGCTAATTTCCGAGGGATGCTTCATACGTATAAACCTTGATTGGGGTTTCGGCTTCCAAATTGATTTGCTCGCACGCCATTTTGATTTTGGTACTAACCGTTGTCTTATATGTACTAGGGTTAGTCGGTCCGTTTTATGCTATCTTAAAAGCAATGAATAAGTAAATGGAGTACCTCTAAAATAATATAAATAATAAATAAGCCAATTTTGTGGTAGTTGACATAAAAATGATTTTGTATGTAAATAGTAGTTTGTATGTAATCAAAATACCGATAGTAAAGTGGTAGTGTACTTATAGTTAGTGCGGTTTACTTTAAGCGATTTATTTCCATGCTAACATCACCGAGCAATAAGATAATATTATTGAATAAACAATAGTCAAATTAAATGGTAATCAACAAAAGAAGTAACCACTTAATTACCAAGTAATGGATTATGATTAAATAAATTTATATAATTTAATAGAAAAAGAATTTGAGATAATTGAGAGTCACAAATTTAATTAGTTCATTCTAAAGAACGTAAATAAAATAATAAAATGAAAAAAAAATCATAATGCATTTTGAATTAAAATATAGGACCTAACCATCATTATTAGTCTTCCGTAGCATAGTCTATACTTAAACACATCATAGATAAGTCACGGTGTCTTGTTAGCTTGTATTCATTGCACCTCAAATGTAGGTTAACGACGAGTAATATTCTCGACCTATTAGGTCTTAGGTTGGGGGTGTTACATAATCATGATGACTTTGAGTCAAAAAAACTAGTTATATCCATCTCATATGAGATTTTCATAGATTAAACCAAATGGATTCTTATGACAAGTTACATCTAGTGATATATTATCTAATATTAATCACCCGAGTGCTTGCTTTGGCATCATCATGTCAATAGATATAAGATCTCCTACTCGCTATCCGATAGCTAGAACATAACACTCACAAGTCTTACCGCTTATTGTCAATGTCCATTCTTAACAAAGCTACGACTTAGAATATTTAATGATATTATTTAAATATATTAATATTTTTCTCACATCTTTCGATTAATTGTTGATGTAATGAACATTATATGGACTTCTATATAATTCTATCAAATTATAAATAATAAGAATTAATAGAAAGATTTCTTTTATTTGAATATTAATGTAATGAACATTATACATACATACATACATACATACTTGTTATTGACCTACTTTTAAGCATTTTTAGAGTTTTAATAACCAAAATAAAAGATACAATCGGGTCCTATAATGGTTATATATACACATACACATATATACTTGTTATTGATTAAGCATTTTTAAAGCTTTAATAGTCAAAATAAAGTTACAATGAAGTCCTATAATGGTTAGAGGTGATTAAAAAAAGCTTATTTTATATTATTTAAGATTTTATGTGAAGCATAAATAGGTATATGATAAAAAAGAGATTTGGGAATTTTGTTTTTTGGAATTATATTAATGCTTTAGTTTTTTTTTCCCCCCTTAATTAGTGATAGGATAGAATACAAGTCTTTTTAATTTTCACTTGTACAATATATTTTTTTCAAAAGGTAAGACAATATATTTATATATAATGTTTCTTAAATTTTAATATATTTTATCAAATAAATTGCTAAGTTATGGACAATTTGGAGGTATTTGAGGAAAACCGTGATATTTGTATAAATTAAAAGATGGAGTATGTCGATTTGGAACATGAACTAACTACCGCAGCAGGACAACAACCAATAACTGCTTTTCTTTTGGGAACAAGGACGCTTACACCACTTGATCATTCTCCTGCTTGAATCCTTCCAACAGCGGCTCGTCTTTTGGTGCCTATAAAGCAAGTTGGAATACATACATACTGATCTCTGAGGAAAGAAAGCAAAGCGCTTCCTCTAGCTCTAGGGAAGTAAAATATATATCCACATGCCATTAGATAAGGCTGTACTTTTACCTCCTTGAGGTTATTTCCAACTTAGTTTTCTCTGTCGAATGGGTACAAAATGCAAGGTTCTTGAAGATTTTGCGTCTCTTCTTGAGCAATCATAAATAATTTTTTGTCTGAGTTTTGGTAGGGCTGACAGTATTAATGCGGTGTAGAAAGCATACAAAGCGGAGAGTTAAACCATTTTGTCTTTGCTTCGGCAGGAGTTGCACGCAGCCACGTTATGGCCCAAATCTCCACTGGAACCACCTCTCCGAGTGGACATTGTTCAATAATATCCCTTCACATCACAAGGGGATTGTGAGATACGAAGATGGGGAAAAAGTGACTGAAAGAGAGAGCGAGCGGAGAGATGCTACCTCTGTGGATGTCCTTGAAGGAGAATGTTAAGTGTGGCAGTAGGCTAACTGATGTTATTATTCACCCAGAAAAAAAATGGTGATTACAGGAGCTGCGCTTGTGATCATAAAAAAATGGATAGCAAGCTCCTTCATAGAAGGAGATATCCATTTGGAGAAGTTATTAACAAGAGATACCGCAAACAAACACGTAATTGTGGTAACGGTAGCTGTGACAATAAAGAGACTGATGGGGTTATCCTTCAGGAAAAATATACTAGGAGGAGCTACAATCCCAGCCAGGATAACCTGGGAAGCAAGTTCATTCTTCAAAGGAAAAGTCCTTTCGGAGAAGCAATTACCAGGATATACCACAAACGAACACGGTTTTGTGGTAAGTTTGGACTCCTTTATGTGATTTTATCATCTGTCTTTACTGCTGCTCGGGCAGTTTCTTGTAGAAATAGAACCTTTTGCAGTAAGTTAAGCAGTACTGCTTACTTTAATTTTAAAGGGATCAGGACGATGTATATCATTTCCCTTTCGCATCTGATGCATAAAGGTGTTTCCTTTTTTTCTCTCATCTGTATTTTCCTAAGAGGTGCATGCAACATGAAGTGAAAACCATTTAAAGATATATGTAAGGATGATGACACTGGCAAACAACTTGGAGAATGAATTGGGTAGAAATTTATATAGCTTCCTTCTCTTTCCTTCTTCGTTAGTTGACTATACATACGACTACTAAACATTTCAAACCAAAAAAAGAATGCATTTGTGTGCTAGCTAGCTGATCAAGCCCACCACAATGGTCTTCGCTCACAGTGAAAATGCAGTATTTAGAAGTTGAGATGGAAAGGTCAAAAATTGCAATCACAGCTTCTGTATGACTGGAGTCATGGGATTTGAATCAAATCATTTGACTGTTCCTTTATGGCTCGATTATGTTCGTTTCTCTATACTCATGTAGTAGTATACAAGGTGCACATTTACGTTCACATGCATAATCCTATTATGATCCTAGAAATGCTCCAAAATAATTTGTCCCACAATATGGAATTTGTGATTTTCCTTGCGTTCTGAACAGAGCTAAACATTGGAGATCCAGCAAGAAACATCTTACAGATGATCTTTCAAAATGCATCAAGGAACCCCTCAAAGTCATCACATATGATCAAAAGGGTCCTAAAGGTGAAGAACTCAGAAGACGTTCTGGAAAGTTATGAGGAATATAGAGAGATGGTAAAAAACCATTCGTATGAGCAACGTAAGAGACACCCAAGAAGCATTGTAGATGGAAATGAACTTTTGCGATTCTATGGCCCAACAATGTCCTGTTGTAGTAAGGAGTCCAAGAGAGTTTCAGAGCTTTGTAGGGATCCTGCTTGTAGAATCTGCAGAGTAATTCAATGTAATTTTGACACAGAATGCACCAAGAACTACGGGATTCGATTGAGTACAATTAGTGACGAATTTGGTGATAACATAATAGCCTTTTCAAAGAAAATGGAAAGGGCTGTAATTGTGTGCAGGATAATTGCTGGTACAGTGACCGACAAGGTTGATGGGATACATGAAGAAGAGTGTGATTCCAATGGACGTGAAGGGATGCATATCTAGCAAAATAAATGCAGAACATGATATTCATAGTTTTAACCAACCCAGCATCTGCGATCTTAATAAATCCATGTGCTGTACTTCCCTGCTTTGTCATAGTTTTCGTCTGAGATTTCTGAAATGCATGTCTATGTGTCATTTTTTGTACTTAAACCATACTCAGTTTGCCATTGCAAATAACAAATGCAGAACATGATATTCATGCACTACCAAACTACCTATGCGCAAGTTAAGCATGCAGTAGCTGACATGGGTTCATCACAACTCAAATCTATTGTATTGCAACCTTAGCTAATATGCGCCGTGAAAATTAGATCAATGCCAAGCAACAGAATGAGGTATTTGGGAAAGATTTAATAGGGCAAGTTTATTCCTGATTAATCCGTTATAATACAATACAACGCTGTTTTGCTATTAAACTACAAACAACAACACGAAAGGGTCCTGTAACTCAAATTGCCGTATCAAGAATAGATCCGTCAATCTGATATTCATGTATCATCTCCATGCACAAGAAGCAACCAAAGGTCGGTTCATCCAGCCAAGATAGAGAGCTCCATCTCTCTCTTCGAGTGTATACTTCTCAGAGTAGTTCTCCAGGAGAGTCTTGATAGTAGAATTGACAAAAGAGCTTAGTGGATATGGTTTAAATCCAGCCATCTCAAACCGTGATCTCCACTTACCCAGAAGTTCGTGGCGCTCAACTCTCTCAGCACCCTCACAAGCTATAATATTGACAACTTCCCGAGCAAGACAGTGCTGCTCAACATTGATTCGTTCCTTGTACTCCCTTGGCAATATAACATCAATGGATTCAAAGATAGCTAGATAATAGTTCAGTGTCTCAACGAAACGGGCAACGAATGGAGCCGTGTTAGTATTAGATTCTTGCTCTACAAGAGTTACCACCTTGGGAGACAAGGTTTTAACCAACCTCAATATCCTGTCCCGATGATTTTGAGTGCCCACGCTTTCATCAGGCAAGTGGTGGAGTGTTAAGGCAAAATTAACTGCCACAGCTTCCCCGGGTTGAATTCCAAGATTTTCAAGTTGAATTTCAGAAGTAGAAACTCCAGCAGAATGGAATTCAAATGGTACGTTGTATGACTCAGCAAGCTTCAATAGTCTCTTCCCCACTATATCAAGTCCTCCTCCCCGAGCATAAGCTGATGTGGAATCATCAATTCCTGTGATCCGAATCCGTGGGGGTCCTCCAGGCTGAGCTGCAAGGGCCTGGATTAAGGTGACCCACTGACTGCCTTGAGCAATTTGAAAATCAATTATATGGACTCTACTTTCATCCTTCATTGCATCAGCAATTGCTCCATTTGCTGACATGTAACCAAACTTGAAATATGGGCAGACTTCATAGAGTAAATGCATGTACGATAGGAGATCAGCACCAGCTGGCTCCTTGCACCTCAGGGCTTTGTAGATAGAACTTCCAGATGAAGCCAACCTTGCAACAAGGCCTTCCAGCATGTAAGCTCCCAATCGTTGGATGGGCTCACCAGTAACTGACACCATCTGGCGTAACTCTGACATCAACCATTCAACTGTGAACATATCGCTATTTGCAATGGCTTGAGCACAAGTGCAAAGTGCTTCTTTCAAGTCTCCTCTGGACATCATCTCAACCAAAAACTTCCATTTCTCTGCCTCGGATATAATCTGGTAAGGTCCAGATATTGCAGACATATTGTACATGTCAAGATTATCTGAATCTGGCCCCAACATAGCAGTTTCCAGCTCTCTTAGCTTGTGAGTAACATAAGACTCAGTTGCTGACGAACCACTAGTATTCTCAGAGGAATCCTGCAGATCTGATGGGTATGACTGAGAAGCTGGCTGTGAAACCAAACTTTCATTTGGAGAGAAGCTAGCAGTAGACGGAGAATTGTGAACTGGGTAAGCACTAGTTTCGGAGGATGATTCTATGGTACGGTATTGATCAAAAGTTTCAGCTGAAGGGTGTGTCCCTTGACTTCCTACATCAACATTCTGGATGGGAGGCCAACAATTGGACTCCTGATATTGCATAGGTTGGTCACAGAACCTTCGAGACCCATCTGAAATTGTATTATTCTGAGATGTTTGCATTGGAGAATAGCCAATTTGTCGCCAATGAAGCTCTTCACAACAATACCAGGAAAGTTCTGGTACAAATTTTCTCAAACCTAAACAAGCTTGGTGGTTGTGAGTTTCAAATCTTGTTTAGATGGAATCACATGACTCCATCATCATTTTCAAGATTATAAATAGATTCTTCTTGGCACTGATAACATACCAAGAAACTGGCATAATCTGAAAAGAGAGTTAAAAAAAAAAAAAAACTATTAGAGCAAATGTAATTAAAAAAAAAAAAAGGGCAATGCATATCATACTGCTCATAGTGGCAGATTAGAAGAAAGAAAGTTTGTATAAATAGGTGCACATGCGCAACAAATACTAGAAGCATATCATGAAGGATTGGGGTTATTTTGTTCTGGGCCAAAAACATGACTAGCTCCATAACAAAATCCTTGCAGGTTCAGTTTTTCACAGAGCAAGATGAATATATCCTCCACGATTCAACTAGCACTTTATACTTGTTTGACTCATATAGCTAATTAACAGTCTTTTGATTGCAGTGATAAGATTTTCTTAAAAGGGTAGTTGATGCAAAAAAAATAAATCTTGGCCATGATATTGCTTCCAGAACCTGTTCCCAGCAAAGGAAACGCAGGTGGAAATGATACAACAGCGGCCTAGTTCTTCTTAGTCTTCTTCTAAGAACCCTAAAGTAGGCTCACCTCATAACAGCAAAGATGATTTATACCTATTAAGTAGTTCAGCCTATCGTATTTGAAGAGAATTTGAGAATGAAGGGCACTAGAAGGAATAAAGAAGTGAATATGACCTTCCGAGAGAGTGTCTGAGAGATGATGGCAACCATCAATCATTTCAGCAATCTGGAGGTATTTCTGAAGGTTAGACCACAAATAGTTGCATCAATACCAGATTTGAAACAGATTCCAAAGAAAAAATTACACCATGAAGTTAAAATCTGTTCATACCAAAACAGATATGGAACGCTATCTTAGCAAGAAAGATAGCATACCTGCGCGCAGTAGATACTAATGAATACATATGGTTGGGATATGCATAGTAATTTCAACAAAAATTCATACACCAAGCTATTCAAGCAATTTTCAGACCAAAATCCTAGCAGATCATACTATTAAAAAACAGTAGCAAAAATTTAACCATTTTTTTTTTTTTCAGATTTTGCAGAACCAAGTGATTTTTAAAATAATAGTTTCAAAACCAACTTCATCTTCCCAATTTTTACGAAAGTGACAGACAGAAGTCACAAGTATAGATCACCAAGCATATACTAACTCATTGCGATCCATTTAAGCACAAAATTGTGACTGAGGTTGGTAAACTGTAGCAGCTTCGACCAGCAATGATTAATTTATTGGCCTTTCTAGAAATAAAATTAAAAAATAACAAATTCCACACCAAAAATCAAGGTAAATGAAAATTTTGCAAGTAATTAGGAAATTCCCATAGCAAAGATTCAAACTCATCACTTAAAATATGTGTGAGAGAGCGAGAGAGAGTGAGAGAGGTACAGGTACTCCACCTGGCTACAATTCTAAAGACACAAAGAAGAAAGCTTTATAGGAGAAAGGAGGAATAAGAACAAAAGAGAAAGCATATTATGATTTTAATCCAACCAAATCATTAATAAAGGGAAAAAAAAAAAAACCAATAAAAAGAGAGAAGATAAAACCTTTAGATGTCAACACAGAAAAAAAAACATCTAATGGGTTTTCATTGCTTGCATACCTTAGTATATTAGCACTTTTCTTTTTCTTTTCTTTTCTCAGGTTTGATTTCCCTCTTCTGCTTTGCGCTTTCTCTCTCTAGAGTCGGAGACCAAAATCCAAAGCCATATCTGTATTAGCACAAGTTATGAGCTAAGTAGATGATCATGCTCTGTCCTTCGGTCGGTCCCCTTCCCAAAGAATTAAGAATCAGACGCATAATATATAACAGCATATGACCTTTTCCTTTCTTAGAATTACACTTGTGCCACTGGACGGTTGATTTCTCCAAAATTAATTTTCCAAAACCACGAGGCAGTACGGATCCTAGTCATAGATGTAGGCGTCAAAGGGCGCATTGGTCAGAAACAATGATGGTGGGTGCCTCCAAGTGTGTCTTGGTTGTCTTTACCTTAGCAGGAGTTTTTTTTTTTTTTTTTCCCTCTTAATTTAAGAGATTTAAAAAATATATAATCTTAAATTAGAAAATTAGTTTTTTTTTGTTTTAAAATAAATTTCATAATATATTTTTTTATACTTTTAAAATCTACTTTAAATTTAAAAAATAAAATACATTTTATAAGAAACATGAAACCGACTAGTAGAATTTTCATTAGAAATATAAAAATATAATTACATATGAGTGTTTATGTTGTGTTTGGGATAGTAATTTATATCAAACTTAAGGATAATAATGACTTCCACGTCATTTTCTCAAATTCGTATAAAATGAGATTAGGTATGTTTATATTTTCAGTTTCTGAAATTTATATTTTTATTTTTATTAGTTGTGTTTATATTGCTTTATATTGAAAATGTCACATGCATTTTTAAAAATATATGATTTCTAAACAGTGTAATATATATATATATATATATATATATATATATATATATATATATATATATATATATATTAATAAATTTTTTTAATAAATCATAGCACACTATTAAAAAAATAGTTAAATGGCGACAAATATCAACGATGCATATGAAGTTGTCGGTATATAGCAATAGATTAGCGAACGAATAACAAATGTTATCAATTTTCAAATATTTAAGGTTAATAGCAATAGAATTCCAATGAATTTACAACAAAATTCAAGGACGAAACATTATCGTCGTTGAATTATTAGGTAAATTTTTTGTGGTTAATTCAATAATGAATTACCAACTCGATTTATAACAATAATTTTGGTGATATTTTTCCTTTTATTGGGGACAGAATATTTCATTCCTAACCTATTATTTTATCACAATATAACAACGAAATCGGTTCGTCGCTAAAAAAAGAAGCTAAATTCAATGATGGAACATCCCGTCATCAATAAGAGGAAAAGTGATGCAATTTTGGCAAATACAAATAGCCATAGACACATATGAATAGCAATGGAATCGGTCCATCACTAAAAAAAATAAAATAAAAATATTAAATATTAAATTCAACAACTAAATATTTTGTTGCCAATAAAAGAAAAAATGATGTAATTTGGTAAATTTAAACGAGTGATGAACACTTATAAATAACATCAAAATTGCATTCGTCGCTAAAAAAATCTTAATCCGGCACTAGCCCTCTTTTTCCTCCATTTTCTTATCAAACCAGCCAAACACTACCCAACCACCATCCGACCACCACTACCAAACCCGAGCACAACTCATCACTACTCGCCAAAGCCCCTCTCGCACTATTGTTCACACTAAATCCCCATTGTTAAGCCCGTCGCCAATCTCCACAAACCAACTACTAAAATCTACCAAAACTTAACCACATCACGACCACAAAATCCTCGACCATACTACCAACTAAAGTGCCTCACCTTTGTCAACCTCCTATTCATCAAAAACAAATAAGCATAGCCGCCCACTATAGCCTACCTAAACTCGAGCTTGTCATCAATCTTTTGCTTTTTCCCACTCGCCAATAAACACCATCCATGCTCCTAGCTAATGCGAGTCCACTTCTAATCACATAACCGAGCTCTCACCCTTTTAAATCTCCTAAAATTCCAACCAAAACTCTAACTCTTTAAAAGCCCAATCTTACCTAAAAATTCGACCAAGGTCGCCACTCAATCTAACAACACCAAAGTCACACTTCAACAACTCCAACAACTTTAATAGCCCAATTTGGATCACTGCATGCTTTAATAATATCTCAATAACTCTTTAGAGAGGCTAATTTAGGAAACTATGGAGGAGCGAAATAAGTAGAAAAATTATTTTCCTCCAACTAAAATCCCAAGATCACAGTTGAATCATATAATTATATTAAGATATCATTTAGATCATTATCTTTGACAAGTATAGTAACAAAATAGTGGATTGAACCGTCTAAGTGTTTGATTTCTAATAAAGATCCACGCCGGTTAGACACCAATAGGGGTGAGCAAATGGTTCGGTTAACCGAAAATCGAATCAAACCGAACCGAATTATGAAATTTGATTCGGTTTTAAATTTAAAATTATACAATTTATAATCGAACTAAAACACCAAAATTTATTTCGGTTCGGTTTGATTTTTTTAAAAAAAATTCGGTTAAAACCAAAAATCGAAATAAACGAGTGAAATTTGTAAAATTCCTATCTAATTCTACATTCTAAATCCCTAACCCTAACTAGCCGACACCGCCCGACTTTCTCTTTCGACTTCAATCTCGTCTCTCTCGCACTCTTTCGAATTTGTGAAAAAAATGCGTCCGAGTCTCACTCGCTTCGCCTTCTTCCTAAACCTCCTTGGCTCTTTGGCTTCATTCCCTTCTTCTTCACTCTCCAATCTAGTTTGCTCACCCTCACCCCTCACCATTCGAAGTCACAACCACCCCCGTCATCTTCCTCCGATCTCAAAGAGTCATGATCATCCCTCCTCCTCGCCTCCTCGTCCTCGGGCCGCCTCGGCTACTCTTGCCTCTTCATCACTTCGTGTCCGCCTTTTCTCGTAAGCTCTCCCAACTCCGAAGGTCGGTCTCTCTTTTTCTTTTTTCTTTTTTGATTTACCGATAACAATAATGTATTGGCAAAAGAATGTACGGGTTGAATTCTTAATAACTTGTCTATAGGAAGTCCATTTTTTTTTAAATCTCTCGTGTGGTGAATCGATGATTGCTCGATTAGGGGTCTCTGTTGTGTTGATGAGTTTGTTTGTTATTCATTGTTTCTCCGGTGACGGATGGAAATCATTAAAGTGGGTCGCTTTCTAATTGTATTGGGGATTTGTTGAGCATGAGAAAGGCATTTGTTTTATGTTCTTTGCAAAAGATGAAAAAATGAACGAGGCATTTGTTAACAAATACTATCATTTGTGCTAAATAATGTTATATGAAATGTATCGGATGCTTCTTTTTTCTTACATAAATTGAGTTCTTATTTCTCCCCGATACGTAAAAGAATTGTTTCTTTATCATTTTTTACATGAATGCATCCCTACCATTATTTGATGAATTTTAGATTCGAGTGTCCAGGAATCTCACATTTTAAAGTTATTTTAAAATCTCACACTTTTCCTTTTCGCGGACTCGGAATTTTGATGCTTTAATGATAGAGAACAATGCTCGTCGCTTCTACACACACAAGTAACATGGACTAAGGTCTGTAATTAATTGACTTGCATCAAATTTAAAATCATAGTATTGCTAGAAAAATGCATCGAGTCTTGATAGATGGGTTCATTTGATAAATCTAATTGTTCTGCTCTTCAAAATTCCATTTTCGGATTATAAGCCTCGCAATATTTTTCTTTCGAATTAAAATGCGAGTATAACCTAGCAAGTGGGAGTTTGGGACTATCAACTCGTGGGAGGAGACTCGAGGTTGTCCAAGCAAGAGTGCAAGACCTTGCTTCATTGTAGGCAATTTTCTTTCTAGATGTGTAGGAATTTAGTGCATTGTCTTTGTTGTATGTGTCTTGATTCTGGATGTGTAGTAATTTTGTATGTGCCTTTATGTTTTTGCTTTTTTTAAAAATGATTTACGGTTTAAAACTAAACTGATTTAGGAGAGGAATTCATGGTTGTCTTAAGGAGTGATTGCTTCGCTTGGTTTGTAGAAATTTAGCACGAATGTATAAGGTCAAGGTTGCCAAATAGATATTAGATAGTGTCACTACATTTTCTCGGTCTTGGGTCTCTTTAAAATTTGCAAGGATTTCAATCCGAGTAGCATTCTCAAAAAGGAAATACAACATGAAATATTTGAATTTACTATGTGATACCGTTGGTCGATACTATCTATACATTTGAGTGGTTAGATTATAGTCGTGTTTAGACAAATGAGCTTTCTTTCTTGGTCGACATTTTTTACCGCAAAAGAGTTCGATTAAACCGAATTATTTCAAAACCAAACCGAATTATTTCAAAACCAAACCGAATTAACCAAATTAATTTTGGTTCGGTTTTAGTTTTTATTTTTTCTACTTTGGTTAACCGAAAACCAAACCGAATTATACTTAATCGAATCGTTTAACCGAATGATCACCCCTAAACACCAACATAAGAGAAGCGACAAATACAAGTTATGGCTTCACTTTCTTTCTACTATGCAGAAAGATCCATAATTTTTCTCTCTAGGAAAAAATTCAGCCAGCTCTCATCTCTCTTAAGTGAGTGGTTTGATGTATCTTATTTTTAAAAAAACCCTTCTTTAGGTTTTGAATTTTTTCCAAATGTTCTAAAAAATGCACATCCACTTAAAATACTCTTTATAGGCTTTTACTTAAGCTTATTAGCCCAACATCTTAGGCTTAATGATTCGAAATCAAATAGACCATATAAATGAGTTGGATGGGGTATTTTAGAAAGGCTAATTTGGGAAACTATTTCTTA